GTGGGACATAAAAATGCAATAATTATGAAAGATAAAAATTGATAAATTGGTCTTAATAAAAATTAAATAATTTTCCTTATCAAAAACATAATTAAGGAAATGAAAAGGCAAGCCACAGATTGGAGTAAACATTTGTAATACATATATCTGACAAAAGATTTGTGCCAATATATCAAAGATTCCTATAAATCAATAATACAAAGAAAAATCGCCTGATTTTAAAAATGGCTAAAAGACTTGAACAGTTACTTCACAAAAGAAATATAAAACAGCCAAAAAGCATGAGAAAAGGTGCTTTACATCATTAGCCATAGGAAAATGCAAATGAAGTCACAACGAGACTCGACTTCACACCCACTAGAATAGCTAAAAATAAACACTGACACCTGAAATCTATACAATGTTATAAACCAATGTTACTGCAATAAACAAAAAATTAAAAAAAAAAAAGGAAAAAATAAATAAATAAACACTGACAATACTAAGTGTTAGCGAGGATGTGGAGGAAATGGAATTCTCATCATTGGTAATGGGAATGTAAAATGTTTCAACTTTTGAAAACATTTTAACAGTTTCTTATAAAATTAAACATACACTTACCCTGGGACCTAGAAAATCTACTAATAGGTATTTGCCAAGGAGAAATGGAAACATAGATCCATACAAAAACTTGTACATGGATGTTTGTAGCAGCTTTATTGATAATCACCGCACACTAGAAATAATCCAAGTATCCATCAACAGATACACAGATAAACAAATTGTGATATACTACAATGGAATACTATTTGGCAATAAAGAGAAACAAACTATAGATACATTGTGATATACTACAATGGAATACTATTCGGCAATAAAGAGAAACAAACTACAGATACATGCAATAGCATGAATGAATCTCAAAACACGGTTAAGCTAAGAAATCTAAACATAAGAGTACATATATCTGATTTAATTCATATGAAATTCTAGAACAGGCAAAATTCATCTCCAGTGACAGACAGCAGATCAGTGGTTACCTAGGGCTGAGGAGATATTGCAAATGGAGATAAACTTTCAGGTGAAGAAAATGTTGTATATTTTGATTGGGGTGGTGATTACATGGTGTACATATTTGTCAAAGCTCATTGAACTGTACAGTTAAAATGGGTACATTTTATTGTATGTAAATTATACCTCCATTAAGTTGATTAAAAGAAAAAAAACCCTAAGAAAGTAACAGACAAAAGTCCTTACAACAATTGCTGTCAAATATTGGAATGTGCACTGATTTCTAGTTTCCCATTTGTTTCTTTGTTGAGAAGCACATGTCAGGGGGCCAAGTTTTCATCTAAGTAACCGGCTTAGTGAGCAAAATTATAATCTTAAAATAGAGGAAGATATAACAAAGTGATACAAGAAGTGAATAAAAGTCTATAGTATGAATATTTTAAAGTTGAGTGACTTTTGATATCATCATGCTATTTTGTGTTTAAGTATGCGTATACTTGAATCATGAATTGTCAAGGAGCTTAGAAAAATCGTGTCGAGTACACAAATCTGCTGTTATGCGGGATGAATCAAATACATTAAATCTCTTATCAAATGTTTAAGAAAAATATGATTAATCAAATATGTAAATGGTATTAAATGTTTAGGAGAATTTGATTGGTGAAATTTATGAGTAAATTGTTAATCAAACAAATGCAAATGTAATTTCTCTTATTTTTATACAAATTTTACTATACTTATATTTTAATAAGATCTCCAAGTTGAGCTTAGAGATTTAAGAAAAGTTGTTTTATTGTATTTTAATAAGGCAAATATTGATTAAAACAAGTGTTTATAGGTATTTTTCTTTTCATACCAAAATCCTGCTTTGACAGTAAAGCTCATTGACAATATGGTTCACACAACACTTCCTTCTTGCCTTTCTTAATAAATTCATTTTACTTTTCAGGGAACCTAAGTTTCTTCTACTTTACTTCAAAATCTTGTACACTAGCCTTATAGTTTATAGCAATGCATTTTAAAATAAAATTATTTAGCAACAAATAATTTAGATATCTTTCAACTCTTACAAAGAAAATTCACAGTAAATAATGTAGCAATTTTAATTTTACTTATATGATTTTCCTCTGTACCTCCTATCTCTAGTTCACCTCATGTCTTTCACCTCCAATTTTAAAGTATCTAGGCTTTTTGTCCCTGCAATTGATTTCTACTGAGGGTCTATCCTAGTGTAATGACAACAATCATTGAACCTGGAAAGAAGAGGCATTAAGCACAATTTACATGAATAATAGTCTCCACTAACATTTAATTGAGTGTTTCTAAACTTATTTAATCTCATTAGGTAAGCAGTATTTCATCAATTTACAGATGGAGAAAGCAAGGTCATGCAAACTGTAAGTGGTAGAGCCAGGACTCAAAACGGTTTAACTCCAAAGCTCTTAGCTTCCATAATTCCTCTGAGATGAATTACATTCCAGCTGAAGTTACAGATTATCCTCCTTGGTTTGTCATTTCTTGGGGTAATCAACCAATTTAATTTTGAGGATCTTTTTTTGTATCCAGAGCACTACGTTATGTAATAATAACTCGACACGGACTCATTCAACCCTCTAATCAGTATTCCGATTACTGATTCATGTACAGTCAGAATCCAGGGTACTGGTGGGTTTTGTTTGCTTCCAGTGGAAGGTATGACCTTGAGTGAGAAAAAAAGCATACTGTCTAACCTTGATGTAGGGACCGTCTTTGATTCCTCTTTACTTCCCCTTTTGACTCCCCTAAGGCACTCAGCAAATGTCAGCTAATGAATAAATGAGAAACAAATTGTTGGCTAAAAAGACAGTGTTTAAGAGCCTGCAGACCGAATATTTGCACCTAGCGCAGTGTTTTGTACCTAGTAAGGGTTCATTAAATATTGAAGAGAATGACATTTCCACCATTTCTTTAATTCACTTAGCAAAGTATTTATCAAACTTCAACCACGTCTTGGGCATTCTGTAAGGACATGTGGTTTAATACAACAATGATGCACATAGGGTCTCTGCTTTGAAGGAGACTGGGGTCTAGAATAAATAGGGTGCATATAACAATGAGAGATGACAGAAATCAGCAAGTACTGATATAAGACTGCCAGTCAAGTGTTTCTGAGCTTGAAGAAGTTAGGAAGACAAAGAAAGGAAGTTCTTTTCCCCATAAGTTGGTTTGTTTCTGTGAATATCTTTTTTCATGCTCTCCTTGGCAATCTATCTCATGGCCTCCAGATTTTTCTTCTATCTGAGTTAATCCCAAATCTCTCTGTTTTGATTTGTCTCCCTACTTTCCATCTTCCTCCAGACATCATCTCTATACAAATCATCTACCTGCAATGTAAGCTCCATGTATCAAAAACTGAATTCATAATTCTCTCCCAAATCTGTCCCTGACTTGAAGACAGGAGGAGAAGGCAACACAATACAGGGCAATGAGAAATAGGAGATCACAGCATTCAGACACAGGGAGACAGGGACAGAGACCTGAGGGAGGAAGACAAGGATTCAGTAAAGGTCTCTGAGGTTTTGTAATGTGTTCTTGTACCACCTCCATCCATTTTCCAATTTCTATCATAAAAGTGGAAAATGTAATCTTGATTTTCCCTTTCTGTCCTATAGCTATAAAAGGTTTCAAAGTCAAAAGAAAGTCTTTCACTTGATATTCCTATAGGAAGGAATTTAGATTCTCACTTCCATGAATATTCTCTGAATCCCTCTAATGGAGCATAGGAAAATGCGGTGGTAGTGTACAAAAAAATGTTAGGACTACTTAGCATAATTCTGCTTAATAAGAGTAGAATTTAAGAAAAAGCGGGGGAGGGCAAAGAATAGTTTGATTCTTCCTAACACCTTTGAGGAAGCTTCCCTCTCCCATAAATTATGTCCTTTCTTTTCTACTAGCTACACAGTAATAAGAATCTGGAAGAACCTGTAACCCTCATAATGGAATTAAGGACACTAATGGAGTTATGGAATTAAGGACACTGAGACAACCAGTGCATGGATAACTTGAAACACTTTTGAGCTCATTCATCTCTTTAATATCTTTATTGGGACCCTCAAAAAGAGGTGAATAAACTTATGGGTATGGCAAATTGGCTAACCGTTCAACAAACTGGTTACCCCGTCCACCCAGGAACACAGTTAGGCACACTTCCTAGAATCTCTTCCAGCTAGACGGGCCATAGGACTGAGTGTGGGCCACAGGAACAAGGGCAAAGGATATGCACCACTTCCAGGCCAGACCATAAAAATTCTCCATGTGTCCTTTACCCTCTTTACCTATGTGTTCCTTCAATGAAGACTTTGCAGATGGGAGAGAGGCACAGCCCCAAGATGAACGGAGCCTGGGTCTCAGAACGACTGTGGAAAGCTGCCCACTGACCAGAAATACCCACACTGGACTTTCTATGAGAGAAATAACCTTGGAAAAGTTACATAACTGCTCCCAGTTTCCTCACGTCAAGGACTTGCAAACAGGGCCTGGTCAAACGTAAAGGCTCAATAAACATTAGCTGTCATTATTACTAGGAAACAAAGTTTACTTCTCCTTAATTTCCTTCTTTTTCTGGGGCAAAGTAGAGTGCTGGGGACGGAGTGGGGTGGAGAATTAGTGAAAAGCACTCAGCTGCATTTACCAGTTACAAATTACTAATTGGTACACTGGTATATTGAGGTAAGATAATTCTCTAACAGTAACTCAGATAACGCTGTAACAGTAACTCAAAGAGAAAAAACATTTTCATCTGGATCCCAAGCATTACATTTTGTGACTGATCTCTTCCTAAAACACTCAAATCTAATAAAGATGGGAGACATAAAAAGAATGTGATAGCCCTTTCTCTCTTTTTCCCTTGACATTGAGCATCTGGGGACATTCTAAAACAGTTTTGACAATCCATATCATCTCTGATTTCAAATTGACACAGAATTTGTACAAAGAATACTTTGTGCTGTTACAATACTTAACTGATACAGTTTAATAATAGTCATAATCAACTTTTATTGATTTTATATAAATAGCTTATAGAATGCCTTCGCAAATCATGTTTTTCCGATATATTTATGTTACAACATACAACATTTCTTTATGAAAGTATTTGTTAAATCTTTTTGCAGAGGAAGCAGGGAAAAGTGAGGGGAGAAGAGGGAGAATAAGATCTCAAAACTAATCTTCAGTGACAGACCTAAATATTTGGCAATTATTTCCTTTTATAGGAAATTATAGGTTTGTAACTTTGAAACATATCAAAAGTGCAGTGCATCAATTTAATTAAAAAATCAGTAGCGTCAAATATATTATTTGGACATCAAATTTGCTTTCTAACTATATTCAGATTCACATATTTTTACTTATTAAATAATCATTTTAAATAATAACCATCAAAATCTTTACTTGAATAATCCCAGATAAATGAATGTCAATTATTTTTTTAAATTTCAATTTATGTATTCATCAGTAAAATGTAACATCAGTAAAATGTAACAATGTCCCCAGAGAAAAAGCTTCCTATGCATAGGAAGATGATAATCTTATTATATCTGCTATTAATTAGGTCACTTAGCCACTAATACATCAGAATTTTTTCTCACACTGATGTTTCCACTTGAACAAATCACACTAACACTGAAGACTTAACCATTCCTGAAACAAGGAACCATCTTTATATTAGTATTTCTTTGTTATGGTGCTTAGTCTTGGTATCATTAAGCACAACGAATTTTTCTTAATGAATATGGTGGATTAAGGCAAAAGGACATAACCTAGTCCCCTCAATAATGTATTCTCTTTCTTTCTAAAAATTGTTGTTGAGGCTATACAAATTACAGATTTGCTGGCTAGAAAGACACAAGTTGTCCCTTAGACTAACACCTAGTATTTTAAGCATGAGGTTAAAACCCTGGCGTTCACAGCATCTTCCCTGGATCTACCATTATGATCATTCCTCAGCAGGACCCACAATGCTGATTTTCAAATGATACCATTTACTCGCTATGTCTCTCAGTTGTATATAGATTATTTTTCCTTATTAAAAATATTTAACAATTGGGCAATAATCTACTCAGTCTTTGTAAACTCTCCATTGGATAATTTTTCATTTTTACGACCATTTCCTGCATGCCCATTGCACTTTTCTTCTGTCATCTTCTTCACATAACTAAGTGGTCCCTTCCCTTCAAAGGAGGAAGGATTTTTGAATGAGCCTCCAATTCTATCCCACAATGTGAAATACTGTCCATAGTTATAGTCAAAATACATGTGGTGGTCTGTATGATGAGCTGAGCCATTAATAAATGGCCTTAAGAATTGGGGGACACGAAAATCACCATCATGAATGGAAATTGTCCAGATATTGACCAAGACGTACAGGCCTAAATAAACCACCTTGTGTAAAGGAAAGACGAAAGGGTATATATGGTAAGGTAGACTCTGAAGGAAGCCATCCACAGGGTGAAAAGCATGACTTGCAAATGGAGTAGGAATCTTCCAGACATGATGAGGTTTGTGTATGCGCTACAGAAGAAAAAGACACTATTAGCACCACAAACTTTACCTAGAGCAACATTCAACTTAGGTTTTCATACCCATGTTGTGGAAACGAGCTAACTAAAAAAATCTCTTTGAAATTAGCATAATCTCTTTATAAAATAGCCCTCTCTTTACCCCCAAACAGTAAAATTTTAACACAACCCCTCCAGACCCATAAAGGAGGATAAAAACAAAATATACCTGGTATCTCATAGCCATGACTATGGCTACTTAGGTATTTAATAGAGTTAGAGGAAATTCTTGGAAATAGAGAACAGAATTTATAATCACACACTGCTGAAATGGTTAATATTTTTTCTCTTTCCCCTACAAATGACTCTACCTTATAAACAAGTCTATGATGAAGGCCTCTGTGAATCCAGTAGATCAGCATGTCAGTGAAAAAGAGGAAGGACAGTACACTAACAATGAGGTGAAACCAGCCTAGAAAAGACAACAGGTATAGCAGAATCAAGATTTGGCTTCCAGGATCAACATTTACTTTTTGTTTGTTTGTTTGTTTGTGAGGAAGACGGGCTAACATCCATGCCAATCCTCCTCTTTTTGCTGAGGAAGACCGGCCCTGAGCTAACATCTATTGCCAATCCTCCTCCTTTTTTTCCCCAAAGCCCCAGTAGATAGTTGCGTGTCTTGGTTGCACATCCTTCTAGTTGCTGTTAACATTTACTTTTTACACATGTAAGTGCAACATATGATCCTACACTCAAACACTATAAACTATCTGTTTTGGCTCATTCAGTATGTTATAAATTAATCTCCCTTGACTGTCTAGAATCTGCTCATTTCCACATTTCCCTCACACAAAACTTGAAGTGTACCACTTAAAATATGTCTTAAACTATGAAGATATTTACGAAACAGAAAACAGATACTCCCGAGGCATCTTTATTATTTGAATCTCTGAGAATAATGCTATTTAATCATTTTCCTTCATATTAATCTTCTTAAACTTCTCTTTACATATTATCTCCCTGCTTAGAATTTTATTTTGCACTAAATATCTTAAGCCTAGCATTTACTCCATAGCCCAACCCTTTCTGATCTTTCCAACCTTATCTGTTCTTGTACTAACCAGGCTGGTTTACTCAACATCCTCCTCACATCTTGAAAATCTTATCTCTGTACCTTTGCTCATACTGTTCCACGTATCTAGAACGCCCTTCCCTTTCCCCTTTTATTTTTTACTCATAATCTTATCCACTTTCCCAGGCCTAACCAATTCATCACCCTAGTGTATAATTTTTGTTCCCTCCCTTAAATAACTAAATAACCTCTTACTTAGAGAGCAGGGGTGCTGGTGCCAGCAAGCTGGGTTCTGGTCCCAGAGCCATCACTTAATTTGTTGAGTGACCTAGGCAAGTTACTGAAAGTCTGTACATTTAATTTACTCACCTATAAAAAGAGCATAATAATAGTACCTGCCTCATAGAATTGGTGTAACAAAAATGGATTGATACATGGGAAAAGCTTTGAACTGTAGCTGGTACACATTAACACTCAATAAATGTTAACTACTATTCTTACTTTCTAATACTAGACACTGGAAATGCATCTTGATCAGATAACTTCAGAATTCCACAAAAATTTAGTTTAGTCACTGCAGGACTGTTTTAGTAGAAAAAAAGGAATAATCTAAAGGTCTAAAAATTAGAGCTCATTTAAATAAACTATGGATATCTATACAATGAGATATTATAACTAATATACTATAATAATGTCAATATTTATTGACATGAAAATATGGGTATATACATTGCTAAGAGAGAAACGACACCAAGCCAATCCAGTAATGTATCATTAGGTTTCATTTTTGTAATGTAAATAATGAAGTATACAGGCATAGAGAAGTGGGAGGATATACATTAGAAGATGTACAGTTTCTAGGTAGGAAGATAACTGATTTTTAAAAATCTGTATTTTCTGATTTTCTATAATTATCATTTACTAGTTGAGTGATTTTTTCAGAAGTTTGATTTAATAAACATAATGGGAAACCAATTCGAGGGCCTATCTCTGATCCCTCCAGTCTTCCCCCTGCACTATTTCCTCTACAACAAAGACTTTAAAATCGATAGATAAAACTAAAGAAATGCACATATGTGGCAAGACATGAATACATAAAAGTAGAACATGAAGAACAACTGAACAATTTGCAATTATTTTAAAAGAAACACAGACAGACTTGGTTCTTTCGAGAAACCAATCTGTCCCTGATATTCATATTATTTACTCACCATTTGGAAACTCTCCTATGTCATCATATAATTTGCTGTACCCTTTCAGCTCTAGCAGGAATAATGAAATAGTGGGAATACTTATCCATGGCAATGACTGGAGAGTAAACATAATCTCTCGATAGACTTGATTCTGAAAATGAAATTTCCAATACTTAAAAATCACAAAATCTCTATTAAATAAAACTAACATAAAATTGTTTTGAATTGGATTTTAAAAATCTTTTTTACATGAAGGAGCTTACCTCCAAACTGTTTCTATTAAAATTTTAATATGTGGGAAGGGGTATGTAAGAAAAACATTCCTTTTGTACCGAGCAAATGCAATAAATATTTTAAATTCTGAAACTTTGTCTCCTTCCCACAAAATCTGTATTCTAAATTTCTTTTACAGAATAATCACTTCTTTCATAATTAACTTCCTCCATCTCCAACCCTCTTTTTTTCAATCTTTGAAGTAACTGACAAATACAAATAAGTTAAATAGAAAAATGATTGTAAAAAAACCTAAAACTACTAAGTTCAAAACTTCCATCTAGTCTGGGCCGGCCCCGTGGCTTAGCGGTTAAGTGTGAGCGCTCCGCTACTGGCGGCCTGGGGTCGGATCCCGGGCGCGCACCCACGTACCGCTTCTCCGGCCATGCTGAGGCCGAGTCCCACATACAGCAACTAGAAGGATGTGCAGCTATGACATACAACTATCTACTGGGGCTTTGGGGGAAAAAAAAATAAATAAAATTATAAAAAAAACAAAAACTTCCATCTAGTCAAAGAAAAATATACATAGATAACATATTTCAGTTTGTGAAAGTCAAACATTAAAATAATTACACTAATGTGTGAATTTATTTATTCATCACTATTAGCAAAAAAATTCTTGTCCATGTTTCTAGCAAGATACAGACTTACAGTTTAAAAAAATGTTGGATTCATTTATTTGTTTAAATTAAGAATAGCCCTATCAAAAATATCTAATCCATTTTGTGCTGGTTTCAAAAGCTTTATGTAATGGTTAAAACCAGTTTAATCTGAAAAATCTCACAAATATATCATACTGTTATTTTTACTGTAAGGTAGAAAATAGGTAAGAAAATCACTTACCTTTAAAAACTGTGGATGTTTCATTAACGAATGATCAAAGATAAAATAATAGCTCAGTGTCGCAAAGACGAAATAAAGGATGAAGGCACCAACATTTGTCACAAGCAGGAGACTGATAGTTTGTCGGAAGATGTCCTCCTCTGGCCACGTGGCTGGATATACGTATGGTGTGAAAAAATAATAATCTGCAGCACTGAGAACAAGATCCATCTTAGCCCCTAAAAGACAAAAATGTGCAACAATTATTTACCCACATTGACATTTCTCAAAGCAAAAATGTTTCAGAAAAACTAGTCACGCATCGCTAGATGATTTCGTTGCTGCGTGAACATCATGGAGTGTACTGAAGGGGAACACAATTTGCCACCCCAAAATGTGTCTCTTTAACGTGAGGATTATTTCAGACTTATTATTTTTAAAAAACAAAAGACTCAGAAAGTTTTTCTTGTTACCTCCCCCTTAGCTACCTAAGGAAAAAAACCTGTCCCAGGAGGTGAGCTATCACCTTAGCATAAGGTGAGCATAAGGTGAACTAGGAGGTAGACAGGGAGGAACCTAGAAAAGCCTGTTTGTTGGGTTCCCCTCTGTGTTCTTCTGTTTCTGCATGGCCAAATAAACACTTGCTTTCCTTTTCACCTACCTGTGAATTGCCTTCTTTCCCTATGAAGTCACTGACTCTTCCCACCCCCAACTTCTTTTGTCTTTAGCTGAGGATGGTATTATTTATTTATTTATTTATTTTTTCCCCAAAGCCCCGGTAGATAGTTGTATGTCATAGCTGCACATTCTTCTAATTGCTGTATGTGGGACGTGGCCTCAGCATGGCTGGAGAAGCGGTGTGTCGGTGCACACCCGGGATCCGAACCCGGGCTGCCAGCAGCGGAGTGCATGCACTTAACCGCTAAGCCACGGGGCAGGCCCTGAGAATGGTATTTAAGGTGAGGGCTTTGGCCCTTGTAGTGATTTACTCGGTTTTCCTGGGTTTCTCCCATGTACACATGTTATTCAATTTTTGTTTGTTTTTCTCCTGTTAATCTGTCTCATGTCCATTTAATTCTTAGACCAGCCAGAAGAACCTAGAAGGAGAGAGGAAAATTTCTTCCTCCCCTATAGTATTTACACAACCCTAGATGGTACAGCCTACCATGCACCTAGGCTATATGGTACTAATATTATGAGACTACCATCCTATATGCGATTTGTCATTTTCCATTGTCATTACGTGGCGCGTGGCTGTATATGAAGCTCCTGCTTTAATAAGCCATGTAATACAAGTCTGCTGCTACCAGAATGCCCTTGTGGGAGATCAAGATTTGGCCGCCCTGAAATATATCTCTTTACCTTGATTGTTTTCTCTGATGGACATTTGACTTCCCCCACTAACTGCCTAAAGAATTTGACATAGTAACTCCTTCCTGGAACAGATCTTCTATCTGATGGCTGTAATATAATGTAAAATAGATGTTACAATAGAAAAGGCACCAACAAGCCCATCTTATCGGAAGTTCTGTCTCTCTGGCCACATTCTCTGGATGGCCCTGAGAGGATCTGCCAGACAAACATTTACATTTATAAGGGAAATCTCCATTTGTAAAAGTATATCCCTCTCTGTATTGAGAAGGGGGGGGGGCGCGAGCTCATTTCTAGAAACTTATCAATGTGGAAGGTGAGGCCTTAAATCTGCATAATAACCTTACTCTTGTCTTCTGTGCTTTAGTGGTAATCTCCTGTAACTGACTCCCCCCAACCCCCAACATCCTCCTTTGTCATTGGCTGAACATGGTATTTAAGACAAGAATTTCTGCTATTGTGTTGAGAAACGCAGTGTCCCTGCTTTCTCCCATGTATACATGTTAATAAACTTGGTATTATTTTCTCCTGCTAACCTGTCTTGTTAATTATTTGGCCAGCCATAAGAACCTTAAGGGAAAGGGCAGAGGGGGATTCTCCCTCTTCCCCCAACACCCTAAATGCCATCTTTAGAGCCAGATTGGATCTTAAATATCATCCCTAGTCCAATCTCATCTTATTATACACGGGGACACCAAAACTCAGTTAGAGACACTGAGGCCCAGGAAGTTTTTTCTCTAAGGTCATCAAGCTGACAAGCGGCATAAGTCCAGATCTAATTCTGTCTTAGTGTTCTTTTCTACTATGTCCTATGGCACATGGCAAGTTGTAAAGATGTGGAACACAGGGTACTAGGTACTCAGGCAAATGTTTTACTCCTTCAGCTACAAGTTTCAGTGGCATCTCTCTCCTAAAACGACTCATATTTCAGAGATTTTTGCTTCAGTGCTGAGACTTAAGATGAATTTCCTAAAAGGTATCTATGCTGTGACCACAACCAGAGGAGTCAGGGACTATCTGTTCTTGTGACAGAATGAAAGGCCCCTCCCATTGACAGAACAACGGGAGACATACTCCTGGCATTAAGAACTAGAATACATTTATTCCTCACCCCCTAATCAATACAGTAGATCAGGGGCTGGCAAACTGGCCCACGGGCCAAGCCTGGAGCCCGTTTCTGTAAAAAAGCTTTATTGGAACACAGCCACGTCTCCATGTTTATATGTTGTTTATGTCTGCGTCCCTACTACAAAGACAGGGTTGAGTCATTGCAACAGAGACAGCACGGCCCACAAAGCCTAAGATATTTACGATCTGGCCCTTTAAAGGAAAAGTTGGCCAACTCCTGCTCTCGATGCTTCAATTTTTACAGACATTTCAGTCAACTCAGTAAACACTTAAGTCTATTCTATATTCATGATCCTGTTATATAGTTCAGCAACATTACGGTCAGCATTTGTGAGCCGACCACTGAATCGATCATTTATGATCCACTCCCTCATCCTTCATTGCTCTATTTGTAGAAGAAAATGTGCCCAGCATTCTAATACATCTCTCATTGATAAGTAAAACTTCTGAACAATAGCAACAAAAAAACCAGTCTGGAAACTGCCTACTCAAATTAGATTTCAGGTCCTCAAATTGGCTTTATCAGCTACATATAAATACTATGTAAATAAACATCCATTTATGAAATAAAATACCCTGTAGAGGGCGGGCCCAGTGGTGCAAGCGGTTAAGTGCGCGCTCCGCTGCGGCGGCCCGGGGTTCGCCCGTTCGGATCCCAGCGGCGCAATGATGCACCACTTGGCAGGCCATGCTGCGGTGGCATCCCATATAAAGTAGAGGAAGATGGGCACAGATGTTAGCCCAGGGCCAGTCTTCCTCAGCAAAAAAGAGGAGGATTGGCATTGGATGTTAGCTCAGGGCTGGTCTTCCTCACAAAGAAATAAAAAATAAATACAATAAAATAGCCTGTAGAAAAGAAAAAATATATATTTATTTACTTATTTGTAGCCTATTTCCTTAAGATAAGCCTTGAGAATGAAGTTTTTCAGGGAATGGCCAGAGAGGTCAAATAGTGACAATTCTCTGGGTTGGGGCTTTTGGGGGAACTGCAAATCTGTTCTGTCCCTTCCAAGGTTGTTAGGCTGATGTTTTTCAGTTACAGTAGATGCAAGCCTGCTAGTTTTCAAGGCTACCGTGGAGTTGGGAAAGGGGGATGGAAACAGGGCAAGTTAAAATGCCACAAAGCTTGCTCTTCTTACTGAGATTCAACCACTTTTCTAGAATAAATATTTCTGGGAGTGTTGTAAACTTTTCATTTCTAGAGTTCTAAAAAAGCTGATTTTGACAACTTTTGTCAGCGTTTTGTTTCTTTTATTGAGAAGCAGATTTTCAGAGGCTCTGACTTTGCTATTCTGGAAGTCACCACCGCCTCCTTTTTCATCGTACAAGTCTACCGTTCTTTCTTAAAACATTTGGCGTCAAATGTATTTTTGAATCCAGAATTTCTAGATTTTTCAAAGGTCATATCATTACCCTATTAAATGCATTAATATTTGCCTAGAAGATGTATGAAATTCACATTAAGTGGGATAAATACATACTGTAAATAGTATTACAGTTCATTTGTATGGTAATAATTTATGTAGCAATAAACTGATAAATGAAAAATAGTCGAATTGGTGCAGACTATAAATACTTTACTATTTCTAGTTTTAAAGGAAAATATTCAGTAAGCTTTCAAATACATACTAAAGTTAAATATCTGTGTATATATGTATTTACATACGTGCAATACTCATTACATCTATTTGCTTGAGGATCTTAGACAGAAGGGTCCCTCAGGTTGGAATTAGACATTGATGATGGGGTAGGATCAGGATTCTCAAGTGATGAAGCAACACTACCCAAGATGGCCTTTTGAAAAGATTTCTACCAATGTCTGTCTTATTAACATGTTTCTGCCTATGCAATTGCTCACCATAATGCCTTCAGCAGTTTTTCCTTTTGTGCTCACAATGTAGTCACTGTTGTCACCATCATTAATGTATCATGACTATCTTCATGCTTAAGTGTGTTTAACCGCCTTTTAGCAATTTCCCCGTCACCCAAAGAATGCATAATACAAGCATCATGATCAATGTTCACCATTTATTCAACTTTAGCTTCTCCTGACTTATTTATGGTTTGGGCTGTTAAAATATATGGTGTAATTAAAGAAGTCAGGTATCATCTTCTCATTGGTGATGTAAAATCCTTCAAAATCTTTATCTCCAGGTTTATTTTCAAATTTCATTGTCAGCTAAAATGTTAAGCGTTTATTAATGCTAATTTATCAGTACCATTTCATGCATTGGCGATTTTGAAAATAAGATCTTTATGAGGGAACTCTTAAGGGAAGTTTTGATTTCTAGGCCTCTGTTAACTACTGTAGACAGTACAAAAACTTGCTTTTCCCAAGTGTAACACTCCTTGGTGAAAAACATATTCCAGTCACCGTGGGGGGAAAGTAAATGCTAAAAACATTACTTTTAACAAACAGTTGAGGGGAATGCATAAAAGAGTTGTCTAGGAACAATTAAAAATCTTCAATTGTCTTTCAGCCTGCCTACCAGCATAGGTGTCACTGAACCAGCCTAAAGATCTTCGCATAAAGATGCCCAGGAATTTTGTGAGGCTCATTCAAACACTATAGATGATGGCTTTTTCTAATCGCTGCCAACTTGAACTTTTACCTGTCTGGAGCACTGGCACCTTCCAGCAAAGGCAACTTTTACTTAGTATTAAAATCTGGTGCTGCTCCTGCAGTATAATGTTTTCCAGGAATGAAAAGCAAGTACAGAACTATTTCATCACCATTGCG